GTGTAGAAGATGAGATATAAGTGGATAAAAATATCAATATTTCATTGCACAACCTAGAAATATTAGTTAGGGACATACTGTGACTTGAGAAAGTCAATAGTGGAAGAATAATAAAAGCTTATTGTGCAGGGTCAGGACAGTTTTGACGGCAGGTAATGAACACTCTAACCACCTCCAAGGAATAGTGTACTGCTTCATAATGGTTTTTCTAAAAAATAGCTTAATTGGGCTGGTGAAGTGGCTCAGGCCTGTTTTCCCAGCACATTGGGAGGCTGAGGAGGGTGGATCAATTGAGGTCAGGAGTTCGAAACCAGCCTGGCCAACATGTTGAAACCCTGTCTCTACTAAAACTACAAAAATTAGCCAGGCATGGTGGCATGTGCCTGTAGTCCCAGCCACTTGGGAGGCTGAGGCAGGAGAATCACTTGAACCTGGGAGGCGAAGGTTGCTGTGAGCTGAGATTGCACCAGTGCACTCCAGCCTGGACGACAAAGCAAGACTCTTTCTCAAAAAAATAAACAAATAAAACAAATTAACAAACTTAGAAGAACTGAAATCATACAAAGTATGGTCTTTAGCATAATGAAACTAACCTGGAACTGAATAAGAGTGTCCACTTAAACTTTTTATATTTTTGTAGAGATAAGGTTTCATGTTGGCCAGGCTGGTCTCAAACTCCTGATCTCAAGTGATCTGCCTACCTTGGCCTCCCTAAGTGCTGAGATTACAGGCGTGAGCCACACAGGCTTTTACTTTTAACCCGCTTATATCATGTTTGAACTGAGTTTCTTGTAGACAGCATGTATTTGGTTCATTTAACATCCATTTTGACCATCTCTATTTATTTGTATATGTTGAGAAAGGGTCTTGCTCTGTCACCCAGACTGGAGTGTGGTGGTGTGATCACAGCTCACTACAGCCTTGACCGCCTGTATCCAAGTGATCCTCCCACCACCCTGAGTAGCTGGGACTACTCAGATGTGAGCCACCATACCTGGCTAATTTTATTTCTTTATCACCATCATTATTATTGTTTTTCTTATTATTTGTAGAGACAGGGTCTCATTACATTACTCAGGCTGGTGTTGAGCTCCTGGGCTCAAGTGATCCTCCCAAAGTGGTGGGATCAGGGGCGTGAGCCACCACGCCTGGCCAATAAGCTCTGACTTCATCTAGCTGTGTTTAAGCCATTTGCATTAAAAAAAAAATATGGATGTGGCTGGATTTACTTTTAACGTGTTGTTATTACTTGTTTTCTGTATGTTCCCTCTGGTTTACATTTGTTTTCTCTTTTCTGACTTCTTTGGGATTATGTGAGTATTTTCTACTATTCCAATTTAGTTAATGATTTCTTTTTGATGATATCTCTCCATACAGTTTTTTTTCCTTCTTTTTATTTATTTAGCGGTAACTCCAGATACTATGATATACATACTTAAACTTTTTTTTTTTTGGAAACAGAGTCTTGCTCTGTCGCCCAGGTTGGAGTGAAACGACACGATCTCAGCTCACTGGAATCTTCACCTCCAGGGTTCAAGTGATTCTTCTGCCTCAGCCTCCAAGTTGCTGGGATTACAGGTGCCCACCACTGTGCCTGGCTAATTTTTGTATTTTTAATAGAGACAGGGTTTCACCATGTTGGCCAGGCTGGTATCAAACTTATGACCTCAGGTGATCTGCCCGCCTCAGCCTCTCAAAGTGCTGGGATTACAGGTGTGAGCCATTGTAGCTGGCCTAATTTTTTTTTAACCGTAGTTTATCTAGCTATCTATTGATGAATATTTGGGTTTGTTGTTTCCAGTTTTTGAAAATTATAAAGATGATTTAAACATTTATGCATATGTTTTTGTATAAACATATGTTTTCAGTCTTTTTGTGTAAATGCCAAGAAGTACAATTTTTTTTTTTTTTTGAGACAGAGTTTCGCTCGTTACCCAGGCTGGAGTGCAATGGCCCGATCTTGGCTCACCGCAACCTCCGCCTCCTGGGTTCAGGCAATTCTCCTGCCTCAGCTCCCCGAGTAGCTGGGATTACAGGCGCGCACCACCATGCCCAGTTAATTTTTTATATTTTTAGTAGAGACGGGGTTTCACCATGTTGACCAGGATGGTCTCCATCTCTTGACCTCGTGATCCACCCGCCTCGGCCTCCCAAAGTGCTGGGATTACAGGCTTGAGCCAGTGTGCCCGGCAGAAGTACAATTGTTTATATGTTTGACTTCATTAAAAGAAAACCTGACAACTGTTTTCAAACTGACTGTAACATTTCACATTCTTACCAGCAATGTAAGAGTTCCAGTTTCAGTTACTGATTTCTAATTAAATTGCAATTTGTGGGAGAAGCCCAGTATGTGATTTCAATCCTGCTGGATTTATTGAGACTTGTTTCATGGCGCAGTGTATGATGAACATTCCATCTGCACTGAAAACACTGTTTAGTCTGTCACTGGAGGGTAGAACGTTCTGTAAAAGTTAATTGGATCCAGTTAGTTGATAGCGCTGTTCAAGTCTTCTGTATTCGTACCAATTTTCTATCTGCTATTTCTATCAATTATGAAGAGAAGGGTGGTGAAATGCGTAACTCAATTATGGATTTGTCTTTTTTCCCTTTCAATTCTGTCAGTTTTCGCTTCAGGTCTTTTGAAGCTCTACAACTGGGTGCATTCACATTTAGGAATGTTATTTCTTCTTAGTGACTTGATAGTTTATCACTGTGAAATGTCCTTCTTTATGTCTGGTACTATTTCTTGTCCTAAAGTGTTTTGCCAGAAACGAATACAGTCAATCCATTTTTCTTATGTCTCTTGTTTACCCTTTCCATCCTTTTACTTTTAACATCCTGTGTCTGCATATTTAAGGTGGATTTCTTGTAGACAGCACAGAATCAGACCTTACTTTATTATCCAATTGGATAATCTCTGATTTGTAACTGGGAGGCTTAATTCATACTGACTTAGTGTCATTACTGATATGGTTAGGTTTAAATCTACTGTCTTGCTATTTGTTTTCGATTTATGCCATACATTTTTGGTGTTCTTTTCCTGCCTTTTTGGATTAATTTTTTTCAATATTTCATTTTATCTTCTCCATTGGCTAATAACACTCTTTTTTAAAAAAAATGGTTGCTGTAAGGTTTATGGAATACATCTTCAGTTTATCAGTGTACCTTCAAATAATATGATGCCACTTCTACATAATGTAAGTTTTCAGAACAGTATATTTTCTTTCTTTCTTTTTGAGACAGCATCTCTCTCTGTTGCCCAGGCTAGAGAGCAGTGGCACCAACTTGGCTCACTGCAACCTTCACCTCCTGGGTTCAAGCGATTCTTTTGCCTCAGCCTCCTGAGTAGCTGGGATTACAGCTGTACGCCACCACACCTGGCTAATTTTTGTATTTTTAGTAAAGACGGGGTTTCACCATGTTGGCCAGGCTGGTCTTGAACTTCTGACCTCAGGTGATCCACCTGCCTTGGCCTCCCAAAGTGCTGGGATTACAGGTGTTGAGACACCGTGCCCAGCCCAGAACAGTATGCTTTCGAGGTCTTCCAGCTTATTTTTCTGTTCAGAACCCAAACACCTCTCAGATCTCTGGGGGATTGCTTATCTTACAGTTCCCTAGTACATGTTCTTTGCTTGGCCTCATAGAGTTTTTACTTTGTGTATGAGCCAAAGAAATTCCAGCCCTGGGAATTCCAGCTGCCCCATCCTCCCTACTTCTGTCTCCTCAGTGCAGCCAGACTGCCATGCCCTGCCCGAGTTCCCCTCCTATATCACAATCTGCAAAGCAGCTTCAGAAAGAAAGCCGGGGTGAGCACAGGTCTTGCCTTGTTTCACTTCTCTCGGAGTTACAGTTCGGCTTTGTATTCTGTTCGGTGTCTGAAAACAATTGTTTCATCTATCTTCTCTAGTGTCCTGTTGTTAGTGCAGTAGGGCAAGTCCAGTACCAGTTACTGCTTCATGGCCAGAAGCAGCAGTCTTCTCTTTGGTTTTATCTGTTTTTCTTAGACCTTTATTTTTGCATTCACTTACACAATTTGTTTTTCATTTATCATTGCCATGTGGTTCTTTAAAAATCTATGTTTATTTTCTGCTTAACAACTGCTTTACTCAGTGCGTTAAAAGTGCTTGCAGATACTGCTTAGAGCATTTTCGAAGTAAATATGCTGTGTTTTAAGACGTCTAATGTAAGCTCTATAATTTATTCAAGTTAGTATTCTAATACTCAATACATTATTATTATGTTTTGAGACAGTTTCCCTCTTGTCACCCAGGATAGAGTGCAGTAGCACGATCTCAGCTCACTGCAACCTCCACCTCCTGGCTTCAAGCATTTCTCCTGCCTCAGCCTCCTGAGTAGCTGATTACCGGCACCCGCCACCAAGCCCGGCTAATTTTGTATTTTTAGTAGAGATGGGGTTTAGCCTTGTTGGCCAAGCTGGTCTCAAATTCCTGCCCTCAGGTGATCCGCCCACCTTGGCCTTCTTAAGTGCTAGGATTAAGGCCCACTACATTTTTATTATTAATTAGCATGCAGTATATATAATTTCATTTAAGTCAGTCCTCAGATAACAATCTGATTTAAAAGAATGGAAAAATTAAACTCTTGGAGTGACTTAGGAATTCGAGAGAAGTTTTCCAATAGCTAGATTCCAAATAGCTAGATTCATGTTACTGTGTAACAAATGCATATTGGATTTACATATCTGCTGTTTCCTTTCTTCCAGAGGACTGTGAGTCTGACCAGTTGATGTGTATAATTCAGGTTTAAATAAATGCCTGGAAAGATCGAGATCAAGCTTTAAACAGCAGCTATTTTTAAGGGGTAGGGTTAGAGGGGACTTTTATTTTCTTTATTTTCTTTTTTTATTCATGTGAATTTTCTGGTTTTTTTTTTTTTTTTTACTTTTTGCAATTAGTATGTGTAGCAAATATAATCAGGACAATTTTTTCATTCTGAATACAAAGAGATGATAAAAAATGAATATTGCCCGTGACAATAGCCAGCATTTGTTGAATGTTTATTATGTGCCAGTTCTCGGTGTTTTACAGTATTAACTTCGAACCCACCACAACCCCATGAGATGAGACAGGACCTATTATTATACACATTCATTATTTATTTATTTATTTTGAGAAGGCGCTTCCCTCCATATTTTGAGACAGAGGAGTGAGGAGGAGGCACTCTTCACCCAGGCTAGAGTGCAGTGGTGTGATCGCAACTCACTATAACCTCTGCCTCCTGGGTTCAAGCGATTCTCCTGCCTCAGCCTCCTAAGTAGCTGGGATTACAGGCACCCACCATCATGCCTGGCTAATTTTTTATATTTGTATTTTTAGTAGTGATGAAGTTTCACCATGTTGGCCAGGCTGGTCTCCAACTCCTAACTTCAAGTGATCCGCCCACCTTGGCCTCCTGAAGTGCTGGGATGACAGGCCTGAGCTACGGCGCCCAACTATGACACCCATTTAAACAGGAGGAAAGATGCTTTAGAGAAATCACACAAAGATTCAAACTCAGATAATCTGGCATCAGGGCTGAGATCTTAACTACAACATACATTAGCTTTCAGAGCAGTTTTTGCCTGAAGACAAGCATAATATTCCTTGTTTAACAGATACATCGCCAATGCATGCAGACATGATGGAAGACCCAGTTGTGAATATGGGTTGAATTGTGTATCTATTTCCATTAACACTAGAAAGGGTTGTCTGAGAGACAGTGTGAAGACTTTCCTGGAAATGTTTCATAATGATGTTGTTTATATCCACCTGGGAGAGTGAAGGTAAAATGAAGTCACTTCCAAGTAATCCACGACAAACTAGGATCACCACTCTGCAGATGCTCTTGGCCGCACAGAGCTTTCATGCCTGGTATTTCTACTTACTCCGTGAACACGTGGGATATCTGAGCCTGGCCAATTAGCAGTCTTCTCTTATTTTTTTGATTGGAAGCATGTTTTCATCGCTGTCCTTGTTTTGTTTTCTCACTGTGTTACCCAGACCTGGAGAGCAGTGGCACGATCACGGCTCACTGCAGCGTTGACCTCCCTGGGCTCAAGCGATCCTCCTGCCTCAGCCTCCTGAGTAGCTGGGACTGCAGGCTTACAGGTGCATGCCACCATGCCTAGCTAATTTTTGTGTTTTTTTTTGTAGAGATGGGGTCTCAATATGTTGCCCAAGCTGGTTTCAAACTCCTCTGCTCAAGTGATCTGCCTGTGTTGGCCTCCCAAAGTGCTAGGATTACAGGCATGAGTCACCTTTCCCAGCCTTCATTGCTATTTTTCTATCAAAACAGCCGGTTAATACATTGACATCTTTTTTTTTTTTTTTTTTTTTTTGAGATGGAGTCTTGCTCTGTCACCCAGTCTGGAGTGTGCACTGGCATGATCTCAGCTCACTGTAGCCTCCACCTCCTGGGTTCAAGAGATTCTCCTGTCTCAGCCTCCTGAGTAGCTGGGATTACAGGCACTCACCACCATGCCTGGCTAATTTTTATATTTTTAGTAGAGATGGGGTTTTGCCATGTTGGGCAGGGTGGTCTCAAACTCCTGACTTCAGGTGATCCACCTGCCTCAGCCTCCCAAAGTGCTGGGGTTACAGTAGTGAGCCACCATGCCAGGCCCGACATGTTAATATTTTAAAATGAAGAACAAAACAGCCAACCTAAGAAAAGCAACAAGCAGGAACCCAAAGCCATCTCAGGATGAAAAATCGTCGCTGAACAATTCAATCTACATTATAGCCATTGAGAACAATATTAATTTCTCAATTAGCAGCAAGAGCAGACAGATCATGAACAGATAAGGCTGAGTACAAAATTGCTAAAACATTTTGAGATGTGCTAGCATAAAAGCTTCTTGTAAGTAAGGTATGCTTATTCAGTATAACCAAAACAATATTTATTAGAAATTATAAAGGCAAGGAGGCTGGGCACAGTGGCTCATGCCTGTAATCCCAGCACTTTGAAAAGCCGAGGCAGGAGGATCGCTTGAGGTCAGGAGTTTGAGACCAGCTTGGGAAGCATAGTGAGATCCTGTGTCTACAAAAAATAATTACCTAGGTGTGGTGGCATACACCTGTAGTCCTAGCTACTTGGGAGGCTGAGGCAGGAGGATGATTTGAGCTCAGGAATTGTAGGCTGTAGTGAGCCCTGATTATACTACTGCACTCCAGCATGGGTGACAGAGCAAGACCTTGTTTCTTAAAAAGAAAATGAAAAAAAGAAAGAAGGAAAGAAAGGAAGGAGAGAAAGAAAGAGAGAGGAAAGAAAGGAAGGCAGGAAGGAGAGAAAGAAAGAAAAGGAAGGAGAGTAAGAGGAGAGAAAGAAAGAAAGACATAGATATATGTCAAATAGAAAAAACCCTGGTTGTTCAAATTTTCCTAATAGATTAAAAGACAGACAAGAGCACAGATTATGATGTGGGGAAGAGACTAGGTTCCACCACTCTTTACCCAGCCACCACAGTCAGCCGGGAATTAGAGCTAATTAGGAAGAAAGGAAAGACCATTCCTGACACCTGCTGGGGGCTAGCCAGGTGCTCAGGTTCTCTGTCTCCCGCACCAGTGGGTGGGCTTCTTGAAGGCACCGATTCCTCTTCCCTCTTTCAGTACCTTCGCAGCTCCTGCACCTGGGGAGCTCAGCATAGGTTTGCTCAGTTCAGGTGACAGGTGGGTTAGAAATGGACTGGGAAGGGTGTTGCTGAGGAGGTTACAATTTATAATCTAATAAGAGCCATTATAGGTTCTTGAAAAGGCTTTTTTCTTCTTTTAATTAAAAGTGGTTTGGTTAGCATAGTGCAGGGTTTCTCAGCCTCAGTACTATTGGCATGTGGAGCTGGATCATTTTTGTTGTGGGGGCTGCCTGGTGCCTTGTAGGATGTTTAGCAGAATTGCTGGCCTCTATCCACTAATGCCAGTGGCATCATCTAGTTGCAACAACCATAAATGTCTCCTGGGGCCAAAACTGCCCTGGCTGAGAACCGCTAGGGTGTTAGAGGAAGTGCTGAGCCTCGAGGCAGTGGAGATCAGAGGAAGAAGAGCCAAAAAAGGTGGGTGGATGTCCTTCAATGATAGACTGGACAGGGAAAATGTGGCACATACACACCATGGAATATTATGCAGCCATCAAAAACGATGAGTTCGTGTCCTTTCTAGGGACATGGATGAACCTGGAAACCATCATTCTCAGAAACTGACACAAGAACAGAAAATGAAATACTGCATGTTCTCACTCAGAGGCGGGTGTTGAACAATGAGAACACGTGAACACAGGGAGGGGAGCACTACACACAGGGGTCGGTTGGGGGGAATAGGGGAGGGACAGTGTGGGGTGGGGAGTTGGGAAGAGATAGCAGGGGGAGAAATGCCAGATATAGGTGAAGGGGAGGAAGGCAGCAAATCACACTGCCATGTGTGTACCTATGCAACTATCTTGCATGTTCTTCACATGTACCCCAAAACCTAAAATGCAATTTAAAAAAAAGTGGGTGGATGGAAGAGACACTAATGCAAGTGTGATCTAAGAGCAGTGACTCCCATCACTGTTGCTGTTACACAACATTTAGGAACCTAATATACAGCGTCATGTAGCATTGAACTACGAATCTACAGGAACAATTCATGAGGCATTCCCATTTGTTTCTTTTGGAAAAATGTAAAACTGGACATTGCTTGGAGAAAACTGGAGCTGGAGTTGTCAGGAAGAGGTTATGGCCAGGTGTCCTTCTGCCCAAAGACGTTTACCCCTTACATAACTGGCAATACCAAAAGTAAACGTGCCCGTTAATGAAAATTGTCATGTTATGTTTACAAAGCTTTCGGTTTATTGTACAAGAGAAAATTTTCCTGTAGTCAATGCTCTAATTCCCCCCTGCTAAGGAGTAAACTGTAAAAATACAATCTGATATTCTTTGAAATGTGGAGAGATGTTCCCTGAAGACCAGAGGATATTACATGAAATCAGCTTCAAGACAGGGTGAGGGGACAGGAACATGAGATATATATTAGATGCAAACACGTTGGTTATGGAAATCTGCACATCTATTCCAGTGGCATCAGCTGATACTGAGTTCACTGTAACCTAGTAATGTCACAGCAGCATCTGGGGGCATATAATTGTGTCAGCACTGTTGTTTACCCAGTTAAATAAGACAAAGATTAGGTGAGGTTTTTGCTACTTATGGCTCATTGCCTTGGCTTCATTTTCCTAATCCTCCTTATTTTCACCCCTGCAAGAAAGAAAGAACAGTTCTCATAGCTTTCTGTTTCTGAGTATTGAGGACTGGAATATGGGGATACTTCTGGGTACATGTCCATTTGGAAAAGATGCTTGCTTAGTGCCCTTTATGCTGACAATGGTGAAAGAAATTTCCTGATGGCATCTGGCTCTTGATACATGATCCTTAGAGGTAATGTCCCTGTGGATGGTGGTGCCAGTCTGGCCCCCTATGCGAATTCACAGATGTGCTGGGATCATTTAGAGTGAGTTTCATTTCTATTGCAGAAGGAGTTGATACAGGGTGCAGGAAATCTACTCCTATTTTCCAAAGTTAGTTTCCAGTATAGTAACATATCCCATGTAATTTTGTACTTTAAATTCATGTTTTATATGGCACTTTTTTTTTTTTTTGAGACAGAGTCTCACTCTGTCACCCAGGCTGGAGTGCAGTGGTGTGATCTCTGCTCACTGCAGCCTCTGCCTCCCAGGTTCTAGTGATTCTCCTGCCTCAGCCTCCTGAGTAGCTGGGATTACAGGTACATGCCACCACACTCAGCTAATTTTTGTATTTTCAGTAGAGACTGGGTTTCACCATGTTGGCCAGGCTAGTCTCAAACTCCGGACCTCAAGTAATCCACCTGTCTCGGCCTCTCAAAGTGCTGAGATTACAGGCGTGAGCCACCGTGCCTAGCCAACCACATTGAATTTGTCATTCAGCAAAGCATAGAAGCTGGCGCCCGGCATCTTGCTTCCTTGTGCAGTATTTCCATCTCCTGGGATGGTGCCACTTGAGGAGAGGCCTGCCTGGACTTCCACCAGCCCCTCTCCTGGCTTTCAGTCCATTCCAGCTTCTCCAAGCAGAACTCTGTCCCTGTTTGGGGGACCAAGAAGGCACAAGGGCAGACCCACACATAAAGGAAGACTGCTGGTCATTTAGCGTGAAGCAAGTGTCACGGCAGTAACTGTTTGGGAAGATCTGGTCTCTCTGGTACGCCCTGGTCTGCTCACTGTCCTCACTCGTTCTTTTCCTTTTCTTTCTTTCCTTCTTCATTTTCTACATGACATAACAACTTTCAGGTAGCAAAGGGTCTGCTAGGAGTCATCCTGGCTTTTGTGTGTAAATCTGGTTCTTTTTAGGATGCTCTTTTTTTTTTTTTTTCTTGAGGAAGGCAGGAAGGGAGGGAAGGCAGACGGTAGGGAGGAAGGAAGGGATAAAGGAAGAAAGGAAGGGAAGAAGGGGGAAGGGAGGGAGGGAGGGAAGGGAAGGAAGGAAATCAAGCAATGAGGGAGGCATTGCTGACCTGGATCTAGAGGTTTACAAGTTGATTTCTTTTTTTGAGAGAAGGAAAGAAAAAAAAATAATAAGTAAAGGAGAGGAAGAAAGAGGATGAGAAAGAGGGAGAGTAAACGGAAATATTGCTTTATTCTGAAAAAAATTGGGTATTAATAATGGCCAATCAATGTTTCATTTAAACTTATGAGTAGATGTGATGTGGTATTGACAAGAATGTATATTTTGTGTATTTGAAGTGGGGAGCTCTATAAATATTTATTAAGTTTACTTGTTCTGGATCTGAGTTCAAGTCCTTGATATACTTATTAATTTTCTGTCTCATTGAGTCTAAGTCTTTATGTATCTGGGTGTTAGGATCATTAGCTCTTGTTGTTGCATTGATCCTTTTACCACTGTATCTTTGTTGCTTTAAAATCTATTTTATCCGATACGAGATTTGCAACTCCTGCTTTTTATTTATTTATTATTTATTTTTGCTCTCCATTTGGTTGGTAAATCTTTCTCCATCCCTTTGTTTTGAGTCTTTGTGTATCCTTGCATGTGAAACAGGTCTGGATGTAACATGCCGTTGGGTTTTGGCTGTGTCTTTTGATTGGGGGATTTAGTCGATTTAAATTTAGGGTTACTGCCATTTGATGTTAACTGGCTGTTTGATCCATTCGTTGGTGTAAATTATTCTTTATGTTGGTGCTCTTTACTTTTTGGTATATTTTTAGAAAGGCTAATACTGGTTGTTTCTTTCTGTGTGTAATGCTTCTTTCAGAAGCTCTTGTAAAGCAGGCCTGGTGGTAATAAAATCTCTGAGTTCTTGCTTGTTCATAAAAGATTTTATTTTTTCCTTCAGTTGTGAAGTTTAGTTTGGCTGGATATGAAATTCTGGGCTGAAGGTTCTGTTCTTTGAGGATGTTGAATATTGGCCCCCACTCTCTTCTGGCTTGTAGAGTTTCTGCTGAGAGATCTGCTGTAAGTCTGATAGGCTTGCCTTTGGGGGTAACCTGACCTTTCTCTCTGGCTGCCCTTAGTATTTTCTCCTTCGTTTCAACCCTGGTGAATCTAACGATTATGTGCCTTGGGGTTGCTCTTCTTGAGGAATATCTTTGTGGTGTTCTCTGTATTACCTGGGGTTGAATATTGACCTGCTTTGCTAGTTTAGGAAAATTTTCCTGAATAATATCCTGAAGGGTATTTTCCAGCTTGGATTCATTCTCTCCGTCGCATTCAGGTACACCTATCAAACATAAATTTGGTCTTTTCACATAGTCCCAAATTTCTTGGAGACTTTGCTCATTCCTTTTTATCCTTTTTTCTCTAATCTTTTCTTCACGTTTTATTTCATTAAGTTGGACTTTGATCTCTGTTATCCTTTCTTCTGCTTGAACAATTCGAGTGTTTAAACCTGTGCATACTTCTCAGAGTTCCTGTATTGTATTCGTCAGTTCCATTAATTCACTCATACTCCTCTCTAAGTTGTCTATTCTCAATAGGATTTCATCAAACCTTTTTTCAAAGTTCCTAGTTTCTTTACGTTGGGCTACAACATGTTCTTTTAACTCACCGAAGTTTGTTATTATCCATACCTTGAAGAGTACTTCCGTCATTGGGATGCGCTCATTCTCCATCAAGCCTTGTTCCATTGTCGATGTGGAACTGTGATCATCTTTAGAGGGAGAGGCATTCTGACTTTGAGTATTCTCAGCTTTTTTACGCTGGTTTCTTCCCGTCATTGTAAATTTATCCTCATGTCGTCTTTGAAATTACCAACTTTCAGATTAGGTCTCTTGAGTGGGCGTCCAGGTTGTTAGTTCAGGATGCTCTTTAAAGAGAGTTTTATCTTAGGGGGCAGGAGGCGTGCTGTCTCAAACAGCCTTAGAGCAGTATGTCCAGGAGCTCAGGCATCTGCTAGAAAAGCACCGGTAGCTACAAAAGACGAGGGTTTCCATCAGTCAGAGAATCAATGAGTAAGTTCTCTCCTACCCACTGGAGGGATGCAGTCCCGCACCTAGGAGGCAGTCAACAGCAACACACCTTGCTGCTGGGCTGGGCCGCAGTGCGGCAGTGCTGCTACTCGTTACCCTGTGCCCTCGGGTAACATGCTGGCATCCCGGGCCTCTCTTCCTGATTCATAACTCAGGGATGATGGCAGCAAGCTCCCTCATCTGGCTGTGGTGCGGGGTAAGTTTATAAATTTAAAGTGCTAACTCGCAGTCCACACTCAAGAAATGTCAGCTATAATGATATCATTATCCTTGTCCTCAAGGAACCTGCAAACTAGTTAGACAGATGGAGCAACACATGTGAAAGAATTACAAAAAAGAGCCTGTCTGGTGTAGTGGCTTATGTGCAAAAACACCATGGAGTTTGAAGAAGAATGAAATGTTTCAGCATCTGAGCGGTCAGGTGATGTCAGCAGAGAAGGGAGATTATGTTAGAGCCTGCAGGTTGTGAAGCCAACATACATTAAGCACCTTTTCCTGTGACTCACTCACCCAACTGTTTGCCGTATGACATTGATTTTGCCAATCATGTTTTGCTAATACTAAAACGAGGCAGTTAGGATCTTTGTGCTAGGTACTGGGCTAAATAACCTTCCATGCATGATGCCATTTCATCTTTCAACACCTCCCTGGAATGAGGTAGTAATAATTTAATTTAATTTAATTTTTATTTATTTATTTATTTATTTATTTTTGAGACAGAGTCTTGCTCTGTCACTAGGCTGGGTGCAGTGGTGCAATCTCGGCTCACTGCAACCTCCACCTCCCGGATTCAAGCAATTCTCCTGCCTTAGCCTCCCAAATAGTGCACGCCACCACGCCCACCTAATTTTTGTATTTTTAGTAGAGAAGGGCTTTCACCATGTTGACCAGGATGGTCTCGATCTCTTGACCTTGTGATCTGCCTGCCTCGGCCTCCCAAAGTGCTGGGATTACAGGCGTTAGCCACTGCGCTTGGCCAGAATTTTATTTTTTGAGATGGAGTCTTGCTCTGTTGCCCAGGCTGTAGTGCAATGGCGTGATCTTGGCTCACTGCAACTTCTGTCCCCCTGGTTTAAGTGATTCTCCTGCCTCAGCCTCCTGAGTACCTGGGATTACAGGTGACCACCACCAGGTCCGGCTAATTTTTATATTTTAGTAGAGACAGGGTTTCACCATGTTGACCAGGGTGGGCTGGAACTCCTGACCTCAAATGATCCACCTGCTTTGGCTTCCCAAAGTGCTGAGATTACAGGTGTGAGCCACCGTGCCCAGCCAAGGTAGTAATAATTTTATTGACAAAGAAACTGAGGTTTTGGAGCTGTTAGTCTGTCTAAGATCAAAGCATTAACACGTGGCAGAGCTTAGAATGGAGCATGATCACAGATTGCCTGATAGCAGAGCACATAAAAAGAGGAGGTGGGAGGCTGGGTGCAGTGGCTCATGCCTGTTATCCCAGCACTTTGGGAGGCCAAGGTGGAAGGATCCCTTGAGCCCAGAAATTCTAGACCGGCTTGAGCAACACAGTAAGACTCCATCTCAACTAAAAGTAAAAAAATAGCCGGGCATGGTGATGGGCACCTGTAGTCCTGGCTGCTTGGGTGGGAGGATCACCTAACCCTGAGAGTTTGGAGCTGCAGTGAGCTACCATCATGCCACTGCAGGCAGTGTGTTGGGTGTGAGAGTCTGGGCAGAGAGGGAGACTGGAAGAGGTGTGGAGGGCAGGGACCCAATGAGGCCAATGTTCTAGTGGGAACAGGGCATCTGTGGGGGAGCCTAAGTGACATATATAATATGGCTCGAGACTAATGGGCTACTGGCAGATGAGAGCTAATTTCAGCTTGAGAGAAGGCAGCTAGGCAAAAGGAAATATGAACCATGCAGATGTGACCTAATGAGGACTCAGAGTTGGGGGCAAAGAGAAGACTGTGAAGTCTAGGGGACCCCTTGAAGGCAATATTGAGAGGTATCTGTGACTGTATGGATGAGGACAGTCAATGACAGAGGGAGGATGAGAGTGATCTCAGAGTTGTTGCCCCAGCAGTCCTGAAAATAGTGATCTTGACCAGGCTGGGAAAACAGGGAAATTGGGTGGGAAAGGAGCTGTTCTGTTTTACACACATTAACCTTGGCGGAACATGTGGGAATCCTGTAAACATTTGGACGGATGAAGATGGGGCGTGTCTCCAAGCCTGGAGACAAAGATTTGAGAATCAGCCATTCAGAGAGAACGGCTACATCTCCAAAGCAGTGGTTCAGGGCCAGAGTAAGGACAAATGGCCACAAAGGGAAAAAGAGTGATTGGTTTGGATGGTTACAGGAAAATCAGGGAAACAGAAACAGTGTGTCACAGAAGAATGGCCCTCCACATGAGACAGGGCAGAAGTCAATGGCTCAGGTCCTGTGAGGAAGCCGACTCGGACCCAGTGGACTGTGAGGGTGGAGGAATCCCCACCTGCCTCTGGGGTGATGGAGAACTACCTGGGAGGCTTGGAGATGACAGGCAGAGAGAAAGAGCATTGGGTTTTTTTTTTTTCATAGAGAGAGCATCTTGGGGTCACCTAGGCTGGAGTCAGTGGCACCATCTAAGCTCTAGGTAGCCTCAAACTCCTGGGCTCAAGATACTTCTGCCTCACTTTCCCAAGTAGCTGGGACTGCAGGCACACACCACCATGCCCAGCTAATTTTTGAATTCTGTAGAGATGATGTCTCACTGTGTTGCTTAGGCTGGTCTCAAACGCCTTGGCTCAAGTGATTATCCTGTCTTGGCCTCCCAAAGTGGTGAGCTACTGCACCCAACCTCCAAGCAACCATTTAGGTGATACTGTCAAAGAAAAATATTCAGAGCGTATCTGACTGATGGCTTTAGATATGTTATACCAGAATAATGATTCATTATTAATATATGCAAAGTATAATTTCTCAACAATATTTTGTGGTAGAAAGATGAGCTAGTACAGTAGTTCTCCTTATTAGATTATTTCTTTACAAAACTAATTGACATGGTCTGGCTGTGTCTCCACCTGTATCTCACCTTAAATTGTAGTAATCCCCGCATGTCAAGGGTGGGGGCAGGTGGAGATAATTAAATCATGGGTGGCCAAGGTCAGGTGGGGATAATTAAATCATGGGGCAGTAAGGCCAGATGGATATAATTAAACCATGGATGTGGTTTCCCCATACTGTTCTCCTAATAGTCAATAAATTTCACAATCTGTTGGTTTTATGAATGGGGATTCCCCTGTGCAAGCGCTCTCCCTGCCACCGTGTAAAATGTGCCTTTGCTTCTCCTTTGCCTTCTGCCATGATTGTGAGGCCTCCCCCGTCATGTAAAATTGAGTTCATTAAATATCTTTCCTTTATAAACGAAAAAGAACACTAACTTTTTATTGCTACATGTTAGTTATACGTGTTTCTGGAACACATGTGGTATTTAATTATGAGACGGAGTTTTACTCTGTTGCCCAAGCTGCAGTGCAATGGTGTGATCTCCACACCCAGCTAATTTTTGTATTTTCAGTAGAGATGGGGTTTCACCATGTTGGCCAGGCTGGTCTCAAACTCCTGACCTCAGGTGATCTGCCTTCCTTGGCCTCCCAAAGTGCTGGAATTACAGATGTGAGCCACAGCACCCAGCCAATAAGAGAAGGTCTGAATTTTGGATACAGACTGCTTGAATTAAAAGCTCTTCATTCAGGTAAATGAAGCCCCAAACGTCTCATCCAGTGACCAGCATAGGGACTGAACCTGCAACCTTAACATTATTAGCACCATGCTCTAACCAACTGAGCTAACAGGCCACATGTGACATTTAGATAGATGCATATAATGTGAAATGGTTAAATCAGGGTTTTAGGACATCCATCACCTCAACATTTATCATTTCTTTGTGCTAGGCACATGTCAAATCTCCTAGCTATTTTGAAATATACAGTAAACTGTTAACTATAGTCATCCTACTGTACTAGCAAACACTAGAACTTATTCTATTTTTATACTCATTACCCTTTTGTCATTCCCCCTTCCTCTACCCTTCCTGGCTTCTGGGAATCACCATTCTTTTCTCTACCTCCGTGAGATCAACTATTTGTTTCCCACATATTAGAGAGATCACGTGATATTTTTTAATATCTGACTTATTTCACTTCATGTCCTCCAGGTCCATCCATGTTGCTGCAAATGACAGGATTTCATCCTTTTTTATGGCTGAATAATAGTCCATCGTGTATATGTACCACATTTTCTTTATCCATTCATTTGCTGATAGGCACTGGGGTTGATATTTTGGCTGTTGTGAAGCATGCTCCAATAAACATATGAGGGAGGTACCTCTTTGATATGCTGATTTCTTTTGAATATGTACCTAGCAGTAGGCTTGCTAGATCAAAGGTAGTTCTGATTTGTAGTTGTCTGAGGAACCTTCATATAGTTTCCCATGGCTATACTCATTCACATTCCCATCAAGAGTGTATATCCTTTTTCTCTGCATCCTTGCCAGGATTTGTTATTTTTTGTCTTTTTGACAATAGCCATTGTAACTGGGGTGCAATATCTCATCGAGGTTTTGCTTTGCATTTCCCTGATGATTAGTGATGCTGAGCATTTTTCATACACCTGTTGGTCATTTTGTGTCTTTTTCAGGCTTTTTTGATTGCTTAGCCTTTGTAGTGTGATTGCTTTTTAAGCACTGTCTTAATATATGTATAGTTTTAAATTATATGTACACACTACGATTAGCCAATATCTCAAGGTTTATTATTCACCAGGGTGAGTTCACTATTAAAAACAGAGGATTGGCCAGGAATGGTGGCTCACACCTGTAATCCTAGCACTTTGGGAGTCTGAGACGGGAGGACTGCTTGAGGCCAGGAGTTCGAGACCAGCCTGGGCAACATGGTGAAACCCTGTCTCTACAAACAGAACAAAAGAGGACTGGCAGGTGCA